GATGGGTACATGAAGAATCTTCCACGTAGTTGTTAAGACTCTTAATATCTGTAATCAAGATGTTTTCAACTGTTATTCAATGAATATCAATAATTAACTGGAAAATTACAGCCTCACGAAGGATATAGTCTATAACGTAAGATTATACAGGGTGTCGCGGAATTATAGGTATGAAGAAAAATAAACTTAAATATTGATACTATTATAGATCATTGGCATCAATGGGATCATTCCATTACTAGCAAAACCACTAGACGAAGTCAACAGGCCCAGTCAGCACATCCCTCCGTTGTCAACCTTGAAATATGTCGAACAACACTTTACTGAAACTCGTCTTCAAAACGGCAAAGCTTTAGAATTCTTTGCCAATAGAAGTATTCCCATGAACTTATAACCTCCAACAGTTGAAGAAAAAATCTAACACATACCTCCTCTCCCTATCCCCCCTAGGTACGCACGATGTTCCTCGAACATCATAGGAATTTCCTTTCGTGCGCTCCAAGAGATGCAGCAAAAAAATTGGGCGCGAAAGACTTGAGCACCCCTTTCTTCCATGAAGTCATGAAAAAAACTTTTTAGAAAATGTAGAAAACGGCTCCCATATAGCATTCGACGTTCTGTGGACATCCACTTTAGGTCCGATTGTCCATTTCTTTAAGACGTACGGATATCGTTCATTTCTAGACGTACTGAAGACGTCCATTTCTAAGCGTACTGTAAACGTCCATTTGTAGACGTACTGGGTACGCACGATTTCGATGTACGGGGTTTGTCCTACTCTGGACGTTATCGATTTTTGGTGGACGGGATTATACCCTCGATCTCTGATATCTATCCAGTAGAAACCTTGGAAACATAAATATTATACAATTCTCACAATTCTTTTTTACTGGCTGTACCTATCACAAAACTTTTATTAGGTATTCTTTGCCGTGATCATCAAATTCTATGAAAGTACCTATCAATGAGAAGCCTAGATATCTAGATTTCTTTCTCAACTATCTGAGTGAAAAAAGTCGGATATGCGTTGATTCAGGTATTCATTGTCCTGAAATGAACGTACTGGGGATGTAAAAATGCGCGGAATATGGACGTCCCCAAAACGCACTTGGTACTTGAAAGGTCCCTAATCTGGACGTCCACAGTACGTTTTGGGGACGTACTCGTGCTAAATGGGTTAGGGTGGATCTATAGTTACCTATATATTGACAGATGATTGCTTCGCTTCAGTCATGATCTGCCACATCGAACAAAACTATAACGAGTACAAGAGAATGCATGAAGAAACTGATTTCAAATTAATTTCTTTCCACAACATCAATTTGTAATCGGTTTTGTACTGATCGATATAAGTAAACCTAATTTTAATCGTTCCGTGTGGTCGACCAATTATGACGAATGTATTCTCATGCATTTGAATAATTTTGTAAATAGGTAGTATGGGCTCAACCGTTGAGTACCTTTTACTATCACTTTTCTCATAAACACCACATATTATATGCCATGAAAAGCAACACTAACACTTTTTTTTTCCTCGAATCGCATAGGGGTGTGAACTGGTAATTTTATGGTAATTTTATGTTCAATGATGATTGATGAGAAATATATTTTGAAAAGAAATATCCTCAGATATATTATGAACATGAGAAAAATGGATACATATAAAGAAATACATTGAGAATTTGAATTATCTATCTGATTCAAACATGAGTATTCTTTTTTGGTATTTATTCAACAGAAAATAACGACTTTCCTGGCTATATATGAAAAGATGAACACGGAATTACATGCATTGAAAACACGTGCACAATAAGAATTTGCAAAATAAAAATCTCTGAATACGAGTTATTATTTTCTATTGAAATATATGAATAGAAACTTTTGTTATGATATCGAAAAAAAAAGGTAGGTAGGTACACGGAATATCAGATATATTGATAGATATATTAAACCGCAAGGTAAACCGTCTGGAAAAGTGACTTGTTATTATGACGGAACGAAAATATCTGATTGAATGGTCCATATGTGCAAGTACAAGCTATAATGTATCTTTTATTCTTTGATAAATAAAAATAGTTGAGGATATTGTCGTTTGGTATTGAAGAATGGAGGATAACACTATAATCGAAACGGTGTAAAAAGTGTTACAGATTATTTGTAAACACAGGAGGTCAGTGTAGTTCAATTCATTTTCTGTCGAGATTCAATCTCACAATTTCAGATTATTGAATGCTATGGATCAACTCATATTTATGAGAACTATCGTAAGAGATTACAGAGGTTACCTCTGATCCCTGATTCCACAAAATATGCACTCGCAACAACTCACCTGCAAAAATCATACCGAACTCATGTATTCAACTAATCATACAGGGTGATCCATTATTGTTCTACAACTCAACTGAACTCAACTCTTTTAACACACCCTGTATTACAAAACCCTTTTTTTTTAAGGATATAAGGTTCATGTAACCTATACCTTTCAGCTTTTGGCAAACATATAAGCAAATAAGTAGACAATATAATGTATTGTCAATCGTTATAATTAAATTTGTTCGAAGGTGTGCCAATTAAGTAAGTAGATTTCATACATAGGCATTTTCTCTCGAACCAAGGCAAGGTACATAAAGAATCAGATAATAGTAGAATTTTCAATTGCTCATAATCTGAAAAGATATATTATCACAAAAAACGATGTCAACATATATTTTCATAGAAAATAATATCAGCCTAGTTATACCCGCTCAAGGACGCTATTGTGATGATAAAAACATTGTGAAGGAGGCTCTTATTATTTTGTTTTCCTCAGTAAAGTGAACTGATTTATCTGTTGAGTGTAAAGCTTAATCATTATGGAACAAAAGTACCTACCTGTTTACCATTTGTTACAAACCAATTCGGGGTATCGGATGATAATTATGACTCAACTTTATAAGTCGACAAGTTTCAGACCTATAAGTGACAGAGGGCTACTCCGTTCCTGCTCTAGTAGATTAGCTTGATTAACATATTAAGCAAGTTAATCTCATATACTCTACCACTATATAATGCTATTTTTCAGTTTCCATGCATGTGACCAAAACTTCATCAGAGTCGGAATGACACTTGAGAAATTATCAAACTATCTGAAAACCCCCATTAAGTAGATTATCATTCCTCCAATTTATTCGAACACCCATTATTATTTTCACTTGTATTAGAGGTAAGTATCTACTGTTTATGTTGGGCATATAGGATACGGTTGCCCAGTTAATAATATAATAAAAGTACTGTCTGCAAGGCTTGCTTTGATATTATTTGTTACACTTGACCACCAAAATGGAACAAAGATTGGAAAGGTACAGCGATGTTCTCACTTCATGAACAGTTCGGCTTCAGGATCGGTATAGTACACATTGTTGTGAAACGTTGAAATTAACGAACATCCGGATCAAGATGCTTTGGGTAATGCGGCGGTGGAACTTTTTTGGATCAAAAACTGACTTATGAATCAGTTATTGTGAACAGCAAGTGTGAATGTGGAAGTGCTTGTAATATGGATTACTATACTAATCAGTGGAACGAGAATTCATGTTCAAATTTACACTAAAACATAACATTTACCGGAAATGAACGATCGATGAAGAAGAAAATTTGCCAATCAATAACCATCATTGTTGAGTCGTAATTATAATTGATTTATTCTTCGGTACAATTGGATTGAAAGATAATAACAAGTTGTTTGGTGAATTCTTCATCTTTAAAATGACGTGATTCAAAAGCACTTTTTTGATTGATTTACGGTACAATCACATCTCCCTACCCTAATAATTAGGACAGGCAATATATTTCACAATTCCTGATTCCTTTACAATAATACAGGCAAATGGTAGTTTCAACTTGCAAAAACTCCAGTAGTCGGTTTCATCATCGTTCCCTGAATTTTTAGGGTTGCTAAATACAAATCTGGAATTATATAACAAAATTCCCTGGAGCGTTCTGGGATATTCGCAAAAAACGGCGAGAGGTTTATATTTTTTCTGGTTTTTTGCTCGGCCTTCTGCTTATGATTCCAAAAAGTATCTCGTGGTATCGAGAAAACGGATTCCACCCTATTTGAAGAAGATTGAATTTCCCACAATTTAAGCCTAACCGCAGCTTCGTAGGTCTAATAGTTCCCCACATACGCAGTACTTCAAATAAGTTTTACAAAAAATTAAAATTCAAGTTTTGAGTTGATTTTTAGATGGATATTGAAGTAAATAATCATCCCACGAGGAAAATTGATTGGAATGAAGTTTATAGGGATTACCTTTCGTGCGCTCCAACCGATAAAAGAAAAAATCTTTTCAGCCTCCTCGTAGGATTAGTATTATCTTCAATATTCAGCTCAAAAATAGATTCAATTCTTTTTCAAAAATAGGTTAATTTTTTTTTCTTTCTTATTTTTGAAAAATTGGTGGCCAATATTTGAAGAACTTTTTTTTGTTTTTCAGTTTTTTGTGTATTTTTTTTATTGACTCGGCCGTTACTTATTTCGCTTGTAGGCTCAAATTGTCGCAAAATTAGTCTTCTCCAAATAAGGTTTGATTCGTTTTTTCCACACATTATTTTTGAAATTGTAATCAAAAAACACAAGAAAAGTGCTAAAATTTCGTTGTTCTTTGCGAATATCTCAAAACACATAGTGAAATTTTGTTGGATACTTCCAGATTCATTTTCAGCAACTCGAAAAACATATTGAACGATGATAAAACCGACTACTAGATTTTTACAACGGAGAGGGCGTACTTTGGTACCGTTTGCCTGCGGATTACAAGCTGAATGAGAAAATGCGTCTCTATTTGGCGAACAAATCATCAATGATATTGTGACCTAAAGTCCCAGCCCTGAAACCTCCATGTAAACTGTGATATTCGTGGACGAGAACACCATAAACAATTCCCTGGCATGCGTTCTAACCAGTATTTCCTCGGCCTCGATATGTACGGCCTGTATCCAATGGAAATATATCTGTCCAGGAGGAGACCGACGTTTCCAGGTTCTCTGACGGATCTGCACAGGTTCCGGAAGACGACCCACGGCCACAATGGCTCCAGCCGGATTGTGATGGTGAGGAAGACCGACCAGAGGACCTTTGCTTCGTTAGAAAATGGACAGGTGAGTGGAAAATTGGAAAATGCGAGTCATACTTAAACCCCGACTGTATCGTATTTTCCTGAAACGTATCTGGTTTAGATACAGCAGAGATACCATGGGGTAAACCGCGGTGGTATTCTGGTGTACAAACAACTGGAATTCCTAAGAATGTCCTTGAAATCCCTGGATTTCCTTGGAATTCCTTTGGAATTTCTTGGATTTCTTCGGAATTCCCTAAAATTCTTGAGTGAAGTGCGGTATATTCCTGGTCTACAAACAACCAGAATTCCTTGGATCTTTTTGAAATCCCTAGTATTTCCTTAGAATTCCTTGGGATATTCCCTTGGTATTTCTTGGATTTCCTTGAAATTCCCTGGAGTTCATTGGAGTTTATTGAAATTACGGTTTAATTCTTGTGTACATACAACTGGAATTCCTTGGAATTCCTTAAAATTCCTTGGAGTTCTATTCGACGTACTCGATGGATCCAAGAAAGATATGATCATTTCCAAAATTTGGACAATGATAATTTCGAGAGAAGGTCTTCACTATGTCTATCATGGATATTCATATTGTTGTAGCTCAGTATTATTCCTTAAGCCTTTCTAGGAATACTTTCTGACTACAATAAATCACTTAATTCACACACTTTACAATATTATATGCTACTATAGGTGTTACCAAATATTAGTTGCTGTATTGTTAATCCAACCTATGTAAATCTATGGTCTCTCTTGTTCCAATCGCTACTTATACCATCGTCCACCTATGCAGTTGATCAATGATCATGTCTGATGGATCGATACAACCTCATGGTAGAACTAATATGACTGTTAATATAGCTTGACTATTAAGTGAATAAGTTTAATATTTAATCTGAGAACAAGAATCGTTTGGCGAAACTGGGCCTAAACCTGACAACATGATTTCACCATCATTTTGACAATTGACATCCTGAATTTTCTGACGGAATCAAACGATGCACCTGTGGTAATTTTAATAGAATATGATGTTTCGTCGATTTCTTTAACATACCTACGAAAAGGTGATGAAAATATGAGGATTCAAACAACGATTTATTTGATACAACATTCCCATGAACGTATTTCCACCGTGTCTTTGTTCCCATATTATAACAAATCTGAATATCTAGGTATCGATCTTTGAATTCGAAATGATGACGTTTGTATAGGATAGTTGCCTATAGAAGTTCTGACGTTAGAAGAGTGTGGACACACTTATTGTCATATTATGAAATATTCGAGGAATTAATATGAGATAGAATAATCAAATTGTCAAAGAATTGAATTGAATCGGCTTATAACAATTAGGAAATAGTATATTGTGCAACAAGTAGGAAAAGTTCAACTTTTCTCACGAGTGAGAAAGTTTGTGGCACGAGCCTGCAGGGCGAGTGATGCAGAGACACGAGTGAGGAAATTGCTTTTCCCCACATGTTGCACACTATACTTTTTCTACAACTGCACTTATTCAAAGAAACCGAGTAATGTAGCTTAAGTATTCATTCCATAATGTGGCACATTGAATATTGTGACCAAAGAGTAGACGCCTTACCTAGATCCTCAAAGTATTTCAAGAAAGTACACTTTCCGAGAAATATTTCATTTCTGTTTTTTTTTTAGATTCCATGAATTTTTCGTTAATGCCAATTCATACTTTTTTCTTGAAATTTCCGGAAACAAATCCAACTTTCGCAGCTTCTTCCATTATCTCTGTCTCTGGCGGTGTATATTTATCAAAATCGTCACATCTCGGTATATACATCATATTATTTATTATGAAATGTAGGAATAATATTTGATGGAAACTGCGATTTCTATCAAAAGCACTAAGGAGAACTACCCTAAAGAATTTGAAAAACTTCTTCTGACAGTTGTGACAACTATTCAAAGCTGAACAGCAGTCAAGTTTTGGTCAATTTGTGTTACTTCTCCATGGAAATATTTCTCACACTATGAGCAGTACATGGTGTTGAAACTAAGTTAGTTATGAGAAATGCGCTACTTTTCATAGCAGTAGTAGAAAAAAAAAAAGTAATAATTCTCACAAATTCCCTTTCGCACACGAAAATTTGTTCCGCTGTGTTTATCGCTTATATTTTTGATATTAGATAGAACTTCAAAGCAGACAAATTTATGCTTGTCTATTTTGTATTGCAAGCTCTCCCAAAAAGAAATCGGATTCCTAAACCCTTCATACAAATCATAGTTACAGCAGATGTAGAAAACCATTTCGTAAAAATGCGGGTAATAATTTTGAATTAGTTTCCGTTTCCTAAATCTATAAGTATGGTTGTAATTTTGAGACACTCTGTGGAGTATTATTGAAGACATAAAATGGATAACAACCGTCTTATCCATTATTTTCATTGCGTATTTTCCAAGAGAATCGTGAATGAATTATTTGTCGAATGATTCAGATTATGATATGATATCATGATGATAAAGATAATTGGGTTTTGAATAGAATATCAAAAATTTTCGATTGCTCATATTTCGACTAAGCACGCACCTGCAGACGTACCTACTTATTGAGAGTTCATCAGGTCCTCGAACACATTTTCGTAAGTTTTTCTGAATATAGCGATTGAATCAGCTAAATTTAGGTTTATACAGTGTGTCCATTTAGTGCGTAATTCTCCGATATCTCGAAATCCATTATCACTAGAGAAAAACTTTTGGTAACAAATTCTTTCCGTTATTGAGGGTTCCCATTTCAAAAATATTTTCAACAATACTGGGTGTTTTATAAAAACGGGACGACTCGAAGACGAGTTTTTTAAATGAAACACCCGGTATTTCTTGTTCGAAATCGAGTTCAAAATCTATTCCACTGAGAATTGGCTGGTTGCGGCGTTGCCAAGTTATAATTGATGAACTCATTTTCCCTACAATTGAAGGGTCATGTTGAATTGGGTATGGCATATTCATTTATTAAAATTTTGAAAATATTTCTGGCATACAGTAGTAGCAAGGTCTCACGTACACCAATCCAGTAATTTTGCGAGATAATCCTTTACAGGATGCTAGAATTTACATTCTGAATATTGTAAGATTCAGACGACGTTCATTAGAATTTTTCATATGGAACACCCTGTATTATTCATCACAGATTTATTTCGACATCATTCGCCTTTTCATCGCTGAAAAAAAATTTCGAGAATAAGGACACTTTTTCTGAATTAGTTTGGACCACTTTTATTGTCGTTATTCTCACAATCCAAATCTCCATTTAACTTGAAGGAGGCAAACTCTACATAATGATACGAACAATATTACTTTACTACGCGGGTTCCGGGAGGGAATTCAGCAAAATTTTGAATAAAATCAAGATATATTTGATTGTGGCGATGTTAGACAGATCATTACATGAATAATGGAAGTGTATTTCGAGGAATTAATTCATATTCTGCAAAAAATCTGTGAAAGTAGCATTTTGGATCAATTTGTCAAAACCCACTCTGTTTTAAATTCAAACTTGAATTCCTATTGTAAAAAAATATGTGAATGGTTAATGAAGAAATTTGATTATACCGTAGCAACGCAATATTTCCACAATACAAATAAATGAAAGAACTATGACGTACAAATTACCACGAAATAGTAGTGAAAATAAGGAAATTATCCATAACTTGATAACGCCGCAACCGATTCCAATTTTCTTTACAGCGATGTGAAGGTAAACCTCGGCGAGATAAATTTCGAATAAACAATACTGGGTGTTCCATTCAAAAAAACTCGTCTCCGAGTCGTCCCGCTTTTATAAAACACCCGGTAATGTTGAAAATATTTTTGAAATAAGCAATTTTAGTATCTGAAAAAGTTTGTTTTTCAACGTTTTTCTCGATAGGTTATGGCTTTCGAGATATCGAAGAATTCCGCACTAAATGGACACACTTTATAGGTACATATTTTCCATCATGGTTACCGAACTGAAAACCCAATCGATGATCACAGTTTTCAAATTAGGCGAAACTCAACCACCAGTGATACAAAAATCTTTCTAATTACCACATGCTTCAATACCGGCTATTGTTGATGGTTGCCAGACCATGAAATATACGTCATAGTTGAAATCCTAACAATGCATTTCATTTCTTCACAGATGATGACAACCATAAACTAAATGTTATGCCTAAATGAATGATAAATCGTCCACATAGAATATCGGGAGATATTCACCTATTTTATGCGGTTTTATCCATTTTTTATTTTCTGATTCAAGGACCCGAAACTAGAGACAATCACAAGAGAAACAATCGAAACATTCCGAGGAGAAAGGACTGAATGCAAAATAACGACTGAAACAAAGGACATTGACGAGAAGTGCCCCCATCATTTATTCGAAGCTTTGACTGAAAAATCTAGCAGAAAACCTAGTGTTAAGGTGAGTTCAAAATATCTCTGGAACAATACATTTGTAGTAGATGGAAAAATGAACGTGGGACAACGATATTGCCCCAGCATTGAAATACAGAGATCGCCTCGTTCTCACTGTGGCAACTGAATATTTTTTCATAGTGTATCTGTATCTATATTGAATTCGCATTTGCTTATTTGAGGAGTGCCTAAAGATAGTACAGATGAAACTCTACAACTTTCATATTTTGAGTTTTTTTTTCACCTCGTATAGTTGAAGTGGTAGGTAGGGTTCAAATGATAAGGAGACACCCTGTACGCATCTTCGGTTGTAGTCACCGGAAATGTATGCCACATACATCACCATTTGTCACAATAGAAGGGCGTAGAATGGATTTGACTAGTAAAGTTACCAAATTGGTGAAAAAAATAATCTTTCCAAATACAACTCGTTCCTCAAATTTTATCAGATGATATCTATTTTCATGAAACGAGATCATTGGAACAATCCAAATTAGATGAAAAATCCTCGATGAAATTTAAAGGACTTGTGGTATTGAAAGTTTCATCAATTCATTTTCTAACAATTAAATGTCTACTTTTTGATTACGTTGATTGTAACAACGGGTGACTATACAATAATTTTGTTCAGTCCTATTTACATAATGGCAAAACTCAAGTCAGTTTCATTTGAAACTATGTAGTAAGTAATATCAGGTGTTATGATCAATAACGAATAGATGTTTTCAATGTTCCTGAAATTTTAGTAATAAACCTTAGTTATTAATAAGTGAAATCAACTTCTTCTGTAATATAGTGCGTCATATTTAACTAACTCATCGGAAATATCATCTGTTATTGTTGAAAATTTAAGTAATAAACCTCAGTTACCAGAAAGTCAAATCAACTTCTATTGTAAAAATAAGTGCATCATATTCACTCAAACTCATTAGGAATATGTTTTTCATTTAAGTTTCATTTGTAACTATGTAGACATCGTAATATCAGATGTTATGGTTGAAAATGAATTGATATTTATAATGTTCTTGACAGTTTAGTATTAAATCTTAGTTACTAACAAGTAACAAGTAAAATCAATTCCTATAGTGAAAATATTGTGTGTCATATTTAACTCAACTCATCGGAAATAATATGTTTGTTCAAGTTTCATTTGAATTTGAAACTATAAAGACATTTGATTTCAGAAAACAAACTTGAAATTTAACGTTTTCTACATTTCAATAATAAAAACGAGTAATACCTAAGTGTCAAATTATATTTGACATCTGCGCAGAATAGGTCTCCTCATCATATTAAAAGCATTATGCTGCTAGAGAGATTATAAAGTGATAATCTACCTACTCACAGTCCGTCGTCTATAGCGTATACCTACCTTATAGAATTTCAAAATGTCGTGAATTTTGGAAGGATGAGCCATTTTCACATTTTTTAAATATCAGAGTTGAATATCTATTAGTCCACTAGATATCACTGATGATTGATGTATCTTCAATAAAGTAATTTGACAAGAGGCGTGACAGATTCTTAGCGTCTTCTTCTTGGCCACCGTGTACATAAATGATGTTCCTAGTTCCAAGACATTACACTGATTGATGATTGTCTCCGAATTAGAATTGTCAAAATTACAGTTTTTAGATCAGTCCCACTACCTATCATGGATTTTTTTAACTTCTTCTTATGCCATGTATGCGATATTTTCCAGAAAAAGAATCCGAAAATGGAGTTCCAAAATGAGTGCCTTAAAGCCCATAACGAGTACAGGAAAAAACACGGAGTCCCTCCACTGAAACTGAATAGAGATATGTGTAAAGTGAGTCAAGACTGGGCAAATAACCTCATCAGGAAAGGTATTTTGCAGCACAGCAACAACCAAGATTACGGGGAGAATCTGTTTTGCGTGCAATCGTCTAATACGAATTTCATGATCGATGGCAAGGAGGCTGTGGATAATTGGTACGAGGAGATCAAATGTCATAAATTTGGGGTAGAACCAAATAGCTTGTCATCTGGACATTTCACGCAGGTAGGTTCATATAATTCATCATTATTATCTCAAGGAAATATTTTGTACCTGACCATAAACAATCGCTGTCCAAATCATGTTTTTGCCATTGCATCAACTCAAGGTTCATTTGTAAATCGATACAGTACTATTATTTATTATCAGAAAATCAATCATGAAAATCTTGTCTCTATATCATTCACCACGATGCATTATGGCATTATTGTTCCCACCAGAAATTGAACTATCAATGCACTCTAATCCTTCTTCAGGTAGTATGGAAAGATTCCAGAGAACTAGGCGTAGCATATGCAAAATCCGGCGGCAAAATCCTAGTAGTCGCTAACTATTACCCTCCAGGCAACATCATCGGCCATTTCGCAGATAATGTCCTTCCACCAGGAGGGCTCCATTCCAATAATAACAACAATAACCACATCGAACTCGGCCATGAGTTCTCGCAACTGTCAGTCAGCGCATCAAAAACCGTCGATAAATTGACACAAAACGTCACCGAGGGTAATTTCGAAGAGGACTTCCTAGAGTCGCACAACACCTACAGAAGAAGACACGGTGTTCCTCCATTGAAGCTGGACAAGAAGCTCTGCAAGTACAGCGAGGAATGGGCTAAACATCTTGCGCAGAAAAACATCTTGGAGCACAGACCTGGGAGTAACTATGGAGAAAACATCTACTGCCTTTACTCTTCCGATCCAAATTTCACAGTGAACGGCCACACACCAGTTGACACCTGGTATGAGGAGGTATCGCACCACCCTTTCGGCAAAGAACCAAGCAATCTCAAGTCTGGACATTTCTCTCAAGTAATCTGGAAATCAAGCGAGTATCTAGGAGTTGGCGTTGCTAAAAACTCGCAAGGAAGTATCTACGTGGTCGCCAACTATTCACCAGCTGGTAACTTTGTGGGACACTACGTGGAAAATGTGCCACCAGTAAAACCTTCTTTTTATGGGGAAGCCATGTCGAAGCATAGTAGGAAGCCTGAGACTACGACTTCGAAAACTTCACCAAGTGGTGCAAGTGTTGCAGCCAGTCGTACTGGCACTTTCAACCAGTTTGCTTTGGACGCCTTGAAAATACATAATGAATATAGAAGGAAACATGGAGTTCCTGATTTGAAACTCAACGAGAAGGTTCGTATATTATATAATTCTTTACTATTTACGTATCCTGTGAGCTCTATCTCAAAGAGCTGATTTATAGTATCTTGGCCTTTATTTTTTGTCACTCCACGACAAATTCTCATGATTCACAAGTAACATATTCTTTGTCCCATATGTTGCTCAGTTAGCAAAACTATAAACGTGTCGTCAGCCTCGAGATTGGCCAATAGAAACTCCCTAATAGGAGTCATTTGTTCTTTTGGTTTTTTGCCCTTCGTCGGAATCAAAAATGTTATCATTGTCAATCAAATCAGCAATGTTTAAAAATATATAGCCAGAGCCCTTATCACGGAGAATCCGTCCCCATCCAGCCTGGATACCGGCGTAAATAATGAGGATTTTGTTTTTCGAGCACCCTAGCTGGACGTCTCACTCGAAGTGATAACCAGGTATTGTGCTCTTTTAGCGTTTCAAACTCACAAAAACATTAACCTGACTCCCGACCTGGAGAAGTCGGAAGTCGAATCATCATTATATCTGATTTGTGCTATTCACATCTCCGAAATTCGTTTTTTCTGCGCATAACGTCACCGCGAGCCAATAATCTCACCATTAGCGAACCTAACCTAACAGCGAGCTGACAGTTATAACTGCCATCGGTGAACATCTGGATATACTGTCCACTACTCATAATATATTATATACGTGAATGAATACCTATATTATTGTTTTATAGATCTGCAAATTCGCGCAAGAGTGGGCCGATACATGTGCGAGAACGTCCAGTTTGCAACACCGTACCAACTGCCCTTACGGAGAGAACATCTTCTCGGTCTACTCTTCCGATTTCAGCCATACGCCAACGGCTAGAGATGCTATCAAAGAATGGTACGACGAAATCAAGCAACACACTTTCGGAGTTGAAAAAGTCAATCAGCAGACTCTGCATTTCACCCAAATTGTGTGGAAAAACACGAAGGAGATGGGTATCGGCATGGCAAAGAATAAAAAAGGGCAGACCTACGTGGTGGCTAATTATGATCCTAGAGGTAACTACGTAGGGCAGTTTGTTGAAAATGTGCCCAGGCCAAAGCCTTGATCGTCTAGGTGCTTCAAGAGGGTGCATTTTACTTTATAGTATCTACCAAAATATGTAATTTTAGTTACCTACATTCCATATATTTCAATGCCAAAGATGTGATATGGCAATTTGATTATCATATCATGTAAAACCCCTTTTCTACATTAGTACAAACTTGAATATATACTTGAATTATACAGTATTACCAATTTAGTGATTAGCCTTGTTGATGATGATCATACCTATATTTTATAGATATTTTCTACAGGGTCTAGATTAGGACGGTATCAAAACATTACTGATAGATTCCACTAGAGGTAGAATAACAATTCTGTATGTACTCTCTGGTACCTAAATACCTATAGGAAGTGAGTTTGATATCTGCAATCGAACTGGGTTTGAAATGGTCCGAGAACACTCACTATTTTGTATGTTGATCCAATTTACAGCACAACCAAAGATTCATGCTTTTCTGACTCATAATCTGTCTGAAAAAATTGAGATAATCGCGTCAATATTTGAATATTTCTATTTGAGCCTTTTAGCGCTATTCAGATTACCTATGTACCTATACTCACTAGTATGGAATGATAAATGATAAGTTAATTTTATATAAATCATATCGATGTATCTATACGATATATCGATATTGTTGACCTGTTTATCAATAAATTCCCATGAAACCTGAGCATTGTTTGATTCACCATTACCATAGATTAATACCGAATGAATCCGCATTCGCGAAATCATATTCATAATTTATCGACGAGATACTGCATGATTATCATAATATCGCCATCTAGTGGCTTTAGTTATAAAGTAGGGCTTCGCGGCCACGTCATACACTGTAGAACTCTGCAATATATCTAGTAAACGCATGCAGGCCCCTATGCTGCCTACACATCACATAGTGCTACTAGAAGTAGAACACTGCTCTGACAGATGGCACGACCTGACTACTTGAGTGCATATTCCACCAAACCTATTCAATGAACTAGATTCCATATCTAGGATGAACAGTGTCCCAGTTGTCGGCAGACCGGGAGCTGTTTAATATTTGTTTAAAAACCTAATTTTGTGCCAGGATTTATCATGGAAAGTCGTATTGCTTCGGAAAAAAATCATGGAATCTCCGTTGTGTAGAATTATCGTATCGTTTTATTAAAATTGGGTATTTTGGTTGTAATTATTCATAGGAAAGAAGAAAATCGCGAAAAAAACAGAACAATCAGATGATTTGTCCCAAAATGTCACTGCGTTTAAAATTCCATACGTTTGTCAGTGACAATTTGTTTTGAAAAATGTTTGAAGAAAATAAATATACCTTCATGGATAAATATTGAAAAAATATCGAATTTTTACTAATCATAATTTTATTTTATAGAAACGAGGAGAAAATCCCAAATAAGCTAGGAAAATGTCAGAGCGACTATTAGTGAATAAGGACTTAGGAGATTTGTTTTGTTTAATCATCAGAGATGAATGAGATGATTGAATTTGTATTATTAGCGAGATTCACGGAGTGGGCGACATATATCTAGGTTACATAATACGAACTTTAAACTAGGGTAAAAAGACAAACTATTGTCTATGGATAAAGTGCATAGGCTACATTGCATTCAGCTTGCTGTAGTTGTAGTCAAACTTGTCAATGACATAAAGTGTTGGCACTATTGATAGTGGTGATGGTTGAGTTGGTTGATTTTTTCACATTATTACATTTTTATTAGTTTAGTGAACAGTGATCGGGTGAAGAATTTGAGATAGTTCAAACAATTCAAACTGATTATGACGAGCAAATCAATTGACATATAAAAGAACAGCTACAACATGTTTACAATACCCAGATTGACCTGCTTTGCATGAACAAATACAAATCCAATGTTCTACAGGAGTTCCTCTGGACCCCAACTTCAATTTTACTTCATGTGGGGAAGATTTCATCGCCGAAGTTTGTAGACAAAGTGCAAAAATGTGCCTTTTGTTGAAGTCTTTCTGCCTCACACAAAATCACATGATTATCACGGAGAACTGCTTCTCCTTCCACTACTGGTCGGGTTTTTCCATCTAAATAGAGCAAAACATCTGTCGAAACAACATCTACAACAGGCATTATTAGCGTTTTCGATCGAATATTGACAATTAATGTCAAGAAATTCGAAAACTTATCACTGCTCTTATCAGTACATAGTACACAAGCTGATGGCACTAATGAGATTGAGTGAGGATTGAAATTGTTTTTCCCCACTTTTGACGTGGCTTTGACATGGAACGATGAAAACCGAGCGCCACCTGGTAACATTGATTCCCGCGAATAGTTGATATGAATTTGTGTACCGGCAGCGGCATCATAGCCACTGTGTTAATACGTCACTGCCATAGTAGTCACTGTGAGTAAATGTCAATATCAATACGTCGATGTCAATCAATTGATCTCACTCATCTGACGTTTAAAACGTCAAGAAGATCATATCCATATCCATGTTTATCAAGTCATTTCACAAATTTCCACTTGCGTATTATAATTTTCAATAGTGAATAAGAATGTAAATTTCCAATATAGTTAGTCGTTCGAACACGTACGTCAAAGTTTGTTTTTCGTTAGACCTTCAAGTTGGATATTCATTTCAGTAAAAACACACGTACTTGGTGGCAGAAATTACAATAAATCTGTAATTAACAGAATTTGTACTTGATACAGTGGCCTTCACAAGGATTCTGCAAATTCTTTGGGAATATCAGCTGTTGGATCATATCATTTTATCAACAGAATCACATTTCAGCCACTTCAACATACCTATGCCAATGTTCTTCCAAAATCATCATTTTCTTCTTTGAGTTCCATATTATGGCCAACAAATGCAAGGTAAGTTGACTAATTCTTCCTAGAGTAAAATCAGGATAAGTTAATTTTCTCAGGACTGTGGTTGTACATGCAGAAGATGCATATCCAGTGACCATGATGTTCAGCTGCATGTAGAAATCGAAAATCTAAAAAGATACCTGCTGGAGAAAGAAAACCATATTGTTACTATGGAGACCAATTTTTTGAATGAAGCCAATAAATTTCCTAATGGACAGCTGGTTTCTGTACAAGAAGAGATGGTGACATGGCAGGATAAATACAAAAGGTATTTGGGTTTTTCCAGGTTTTTATAAAATGATGATTCACAAATATTTCTCACTCACTCAGTGCCATCATGGCATCATAGGTTCATTCTTTCTCATAAAATTTTACTAGAATTTGTAGTCAATTTTATTTTTGGTCTGGTATTTGGTCTATACTAGGATGCATGCTCCTGATTAGTAATTGTAGGATCTGTAATTTCCTAGGTAATTTATTTGAACATGTTGACAATGAATACTAATATTATATTTTTTTGTTCTTCATCCAACATGGTTATTTTGAAGAATGATGAAGTCTATACAATTTCATATGTATGCAGAACATGTATAGACAAAAAAATTTCTTAATTGGTAGATATGAATTAGTATTCCAAATGATATAAAGAAAAATTAGTTCAATTGTCCATATCACACTCATGATACCTCATGGTACAATAAAGATAAGCTAATATTTGCTTGGATTTTTGAAATTTTCAACTGGATATCTTAATTTCTGTGACAAATTGTAACTGTCAAGGCAAATGTGAAGGCATATGTCTCTGACCATAATGAAAACTCAAATGTTTGAAATGTCAGTGCATCTTAATTTGATGTAAATAATATGTTCTTGAAATAATTAAATCATAACCTACTCAGATAGTTAATGAAACATTATTGGTCCTTTTGTTTTTGTAGAATAATTTGATTTTGACTTTAAATACACTCAATGCATAATATTCAAGTCCTCAACATGCTGATGAACACACTTCAACATATGATTAATAGTCAGAGATGAGTATCTTCTGGTTACTTTTCAATATATCAGTAGGTCATGTGGATTTGCACAGGCTAACATAAGCTAAAGATCAGAAAATAATATTGAATTCTCACTATTTGAAGAGCAATACATAATTATATTCCAGTATAGCAAATCCACATTCTTCCCATATTCATCTGGTGGTATTTAGATGTGTGAATTTATTTTTCAAAATGATTCATTTTGATTCCTAATATTTTTATTTATATATTGTGGTACTCATAAGGAATGATAATATTTCACTCTCATTATCTTTGTAATTTAAAAATTCTGTATAAGCAACTCATATCTGTTTTTAATCCTCTGCTTTTGGATGGCACAACAAGATTTATCTTTTTGGTTAATAATACTAGCTTACTATGGAATAAATTGGAATAAATCTATAAATTATCAGATGAGAAGTTTGCGAGGAAGTTTGTTATGCTGAAATCTATCTATGCAAAAAAACTCCACAAAAATATCAATTCTTTTTATATTCTCCAGATTATATGATGCTCACAGAAGAGTTCAAAGGGTGAACCAGGGTTTAGAAGACAAACTATTGAAACTAGTTGATGTATGTGAGACTGACAAGAACACTTTAACAAAAGATGTGGCAATATTGTCTCATAAATTAGCTGAGGCAAATTATGCTATAAAGAAATTGACTGAAGATAATGTGAGCTCTTCTTTCATCTGCTTGAAATATCATATTCAATATTATTGTTTTAGGAAAGGTACAAAAATGATGTTTCTCTTGCTATACAATTCCTGCAATGTAAACAGACTAATTTTGTTGCAAAGAGGTATGATTCGGTAAGTTTCAAAATATATTATTTCATACAGTAACACCCATATTCTATACCAGTTGAATATTTGGTGAAAATTATATCTGAAATATTGAACTTCCTGCACATCCAAAGTGAATTCCTAGTATTCAAATGGGGTACATTTAGATAATAACTCTGGACAATAAGTCAGATAGTTTGTGAGTTTATAAATAAATATGGAAGAAGTTGAGTCAACAATAAGAGGAATAATTATGATTCTATATTCAAATCAGGATGGTATTTTGCTGGACAATTTCTCAAAGCATAAGAAGTATTTATTTTAGACACAAACAATAATTTGTAACCACAGCGACTCATTCTGAGGACTACAGCTACAATTAATTTTGGTCATTGCAATTCATGTTTATACATTGTTGAAAACACCGACCATCTTATTTTTTTCCATTTCTTCATCCTTTGGAACGCACAGGAAATATCTATGTTAGAAGAACATCATGCGTACCCAGGAGGGATAGGGAGAGGAGGTAGGTATCAACATTTTTTTTTGAACTTCTGGAGATTATAAATTCTTGGGAATATACTTCCTTACGCTATGAATTCAAAAACTTTGACTGGGATTGTTGAGTTTACCTGACTGGTATTATTATTGCTAGTAATGGAATGTTAGCAGAGATTTCTGAAGAACATGGAAGTATCTATTGAAAGATATCTAGTGTGTTTGATAATACAACTTACTTCTGGTTTGTGATCAGTCAGTTTATTAGAGAATTTCAAGGTCCTCACAATATTGGTCATCATATTTGTGAAATGAATTTTAGAAATTATCATTGTAATTTTCGCAAATGGGTACCAGACACCCCTGCTTTCATATTTTTTATTCTTTATCACCTGATAATTTCCAAATAAAAATTAAGAGCAACCAAATTGGTTGAATCACAAAATTTATTGCTAACAAAAGAAGTTAGTGTTTCCTCTCCCAATGAGTCTGAATGACTCTACTATCTAGATGGCTTATGCCATAAGACAAAATCTCGTTCATTTGCGAAATTGTATTGGATCTCATAGAGCGTGTGCATTAAATAGCTGTCATATATATTACTAATTGTTACTCATTCCGAGAAAGATGACATACTTTGAAATCATGAAAGACAGTTTGGATTTTTCTACACCTTGGGCCGAATCGTTTATATGCCAGCAATTTGCATGAGATTTCCAGGTTGTGGAAATAAGGCATATTCGCAGGAATCAATGTTACCAGATGGCGCTCGGTTTTCATCGTTCCATGTCAAAGCAACGTCAAAACTGGGGCAAAACAAACTCAATCCTCACTCAATCTCATTAGTGCCATTAGCTTGTGTAACACTTTATGTCATTGGCAAGTTTGACAACAACAGTTACAGCAAGATGTATGCAATGTAGTCTATGCACTTCATCCATAGACAACAGTTTGTTTTCCCCCAGTTTGAAGTTCGTATTATGTAACCTAGATGTTGTTCACTTCGTGAATCTCGTGAGTAGCGTTCTAGATAGTAGGTTATATCGTTGGAAAGACCGTCACAAAGATACGAAGGTTTAGTTTATGTCACAATGTCATTGCTAAAAACTTTATCTGGTGAATGAGAATGACAACCAGTAAATTTCTGAATATGTCTTAAACAGAAATAAAAAATGGATGGGTAAGTTCTATCATATGCAAATACTTCGAGGATAGATTGATGAATGATGAAACATTCAGATGATTGCCCTCCATATGTTCATGAGCCGTCTGCAGATCGGTTATCAAGACCATCTTTGAAGATAAAACAATAACACTTTTGTGGTTCCATTACATCTGTCAAATCTGATGAACATTTCTCGTTCTTAATAAAATATACATAGCATTATTTAGAATTTGTATTTTATACCCCAAAATGCATGAGTCCACCTATAGACAATAATTTTCGAAATACTCGTCATTATGTAATCAATAACTTGTTAGTTTAATTATACCACTCACATTTATTATTAACTGGACCGCTAATTCCATGAGATCAAAGCTCATTCATTTACAAGATTGAACTTGGTTCAATGCATTTTATTCGCTCTTACTTGCTTCGCGGAACAATAACATGATAGGTGTCATCGGCGTATTGTATGGTGTAACATTTGGTGGGATGTTCTTGCTGTTGGGGAAAACCATAGCAGTACATGTTGTAAAGCATTGGTGATAAAGGGGCTTCTTGTGGTACACTTTGCTGTGCAGTGAACGAAAGAGACTTTGAATCATTTATTGAGAGAACTAGTTTTCTGTCTTCAAGAAAACTTTTAATTATATGAATGAGGTTAACTGACACTTTGAAGGATCATTTTAAAAAGAAGTCCTTTATGCGAGCCTTTATGCCACACACTATCGAATGCTTCTTTTGATATCCAGGCAGGTTTTGGGAGAATCACAATTTACCTGTTTCCATATTTTGGAAAACAAATTATTCGTCAGGCAGAATTTGAAGATTTTAATTATGTGAAGGTGGATTTCATAACTCAAGTTTTTAATTACGTTCCAAGGCAGTAACCTGACAACAGTAATGAAATTCCGAACTTTTTTCCCGTCACAGAAACAAATATATGTATAAAACCGTTTTTTCTTTGGAGCATCTTATCTTCACAATCTAATAGATCCCCACGACGCTCGAGTAAATTCTTATTTAGCCTCTTTGCTTCCCCTACTATTATGGTTGTTTTTAATTAGTAATGTTGTATGTACGACTGAATCATTATCATTGAATACTGTAGGGTGCTTGTGCTCGTGTGAACGAATCATAACGTCATTCTTATCTCAGCTACCAGCCGAAGTGCAATCACAAGTATCCAACTTCATGACCACGAAGAAGAAACCGGAAGAACGGAAACCGTCTACCGAGGTGAAAAACATCAAAGTGCCGATACCGACTTTTCCGCCTACCGCGATGGTCTATTCTGTTCCGAAATCACCGAACCCCGAGCGAAAATCGGAAAATACGGACATGGAATCGGCTCCCGTTGACATAGTCTCTGCGGCCATAATGGCGAAAGTTCTAGAAGAAAGGCTGAGGGAAAAGGCGAATGCCAAGCACTGTGATAGTTGCACTTGTTCGACGACTTTGAAGATTGTTTTTGATATTACGCAGCATAGCATCGGGACGCAGACTGGGGAGTACAAGGATATGGTGTGTTTGAGGTGTAATGATAGCGTTAATCCTAACAGTGAGTTCGTTAGTAAAAGTTGCATCATCCATCATGAGTTTCCATTTATTTAGGAATTTTGTTTACTATCCATTGTACTCACAAAATGAATTCTGACGCGTGACTTCTCTCCTTTAGGGTACCACCATCGAAACATTTCTCTTACAAACAGTATAGTCCACTCATTTTTTGTAATCTCATAAAATCAATGGAAGCATATCATAAATAATTTTCAAGAGAAAGGAGATGTCTATATTAAAGAAAAGAAAATTATAATGGCTGTCATCTCATTATTATTTTCAGCGATAAAAATATTGAAGTATAAACCCTCCTCAACAACTTTTATACATTTTTTCTGAATTTCATTTTTATGATATGAAGAAGTAGAAATTGGGGTTGGATGGAAAATAAGGGGTAAGACTGCATTTATCATGGGATGGTTTTTTTTTCGAAATTTTTTTTGGTACTTACGTATTTTTGTCTGAAAAACACGAAGTTGATAATGAAAATGTGAACAAACCACTATTTATCGAGATATTTCGAAATTTCGTCCTTCTTTTTCCCCTTATGTTGGATGTATTTACAGCTACCTGTTCTTCTTATTTTGTCATTGGACAATTTATATACTCATGGTGTACTTCAATGACACATTTTTATATAGAAAATTCAACAGGAAATATGATTTTTATGGCGAGTTTTTCATATCTAGTGAACAAGCATACCAGATGACGGCCATTTAATCAATAGTCAATCCAAATACAAGATGTCAAATGTCAACAGGTTGCTTTTGAATGACATTACACACGCCATTATCTCTAATGATATTCTTCCTTCTTTTCATTGAACATGGATAAATCACAAAAAAATCATATTTCTAGTTGACTCATATGATAGAAAAAAATTTGTCATACATTGTGATATATATAAATTGTCCAATGATGAAAAAAGAAGGGCAAATTTTTATAAATGTGATCCAGAAGACAAGCGGAAAAGAAGATGAAATTTGAAACTTTATAGTGAACTATCTCAATAAATAATGGTTCGTTCACATTTTCATTATCAAATTCATGTTTTTCAGACAAAAATACGTAAGTACCAAAAATGTTTTCGAAAAAAACCCATCGCATGATAAATGTAGTTTTACCAAATAAAGTATCGATTATCGAGGAAAATTTTGGAAAAATTGAAATATCTTTCTTCCGATTTCGGAATAGCTTGATTGTCCTGAATACGGTGATGACAGAACTTTTCAATACTTTCCATAGGCAGAGAGCACTGAATTGGCAAAAACATTATCTGCCAGGAGCTTTGCTGCTACATGTATTGAGTTAAATGAAAGGCACATGCACAATGTTGAATGAAAATTTATCACAATCTAGAAAATAATGAAGATGTTCCGTCATTATCATCGAATTGTTCCACTACAATCAAGCTGATCTGACGAGAAATAACAGATATTTATGTATTTCCAAAACTCTTATGATAAACTTTCTTCACATTATGGTTGGTACTTCAAGACAGACACTGTATATTTCCAGAAAATATGGAAGAAAAATGCCTATAAATATTGTTAGTTTCAATGCCTGAATATTTTCAGGAAAGAATGCTTGAGAGAATGTAGGACACAGTGAATGAAATTATCGAGGCAGGCATTGTTTAGATTATACCATATAAATGCAGAACTTATTATTATAAAATTTTATTTTGTTAATAAATCAAAGGATATTTCACCGTTTGTTTTAATAAAGTCATGTGCTGAATATGAATAGGTTGTTCAAATGATAAAGAAAACAATACCAACTGGTATATATATAATAATATACCTAATGCAAAATGTGACTCATTCCAAAAACCTGACGTTTAGAAACTTCATACTCTTTCAATCATCTGAGAAGCCCATGCGAATTTAACGGTTCAAATATTTTATTCAAGGCGCTCCTCAAAGATCTGGTTCAGAACTATGAAAACAAACAGGTACCTTTTGACGAAAATTTGTTGTCATAGATGAATGCTAATGACATCGATATTTTTGGTCGAATTTTTGGTCAGAAAATCTTATTTTTGATGTATTATCAGGCAATTCACTTTGCGTAAACATACTGGATTTTTTTCATCTTTTATATTAACATGTGAACCATGATGTGTAAAATATCATTCACCTACTACCTACCAAATGTAAAACATTACGACACTAGTGCGGTAAAGTAAAATCTAATTTAATATTTCAGTATTTTACTCAAACAAAATGAATAGATCCGGTATTAAAGTTTGAATTGCTCCATTTGCCTCAGTTTCTATTTCTGAATCTTCAGATTCGTGATTAGGATTCCTGTCGGTGTTTTTTTTTTCTCAGGTTGAAATGAACGCGTCAAATTTGATACGCCCAACCCTTGCAACGCTTGCTTGTTACATATTCGTAATAAATCGTGGTAGTAGGTGAAATATTGTACAATATTCATATCGTGAATTCATATCAGGATAATAGACTTTCCTATCTTTACGATACTTATATCGTAACTATTACATTTCATGATCAGAATAACAACTACTAAAAATGAATTTGTCAGAGACTTGATCATGTCCTGCTATTTCTCAGAGTAAAAATCATTGGCATTGATCATTATCTGAGGTCTATCGAAAATATCTGATAACTTTATTGACAATAGGTAATGCTACTACTGTTGCAGAACTCTTAAATTAAATTTCCTAATTACAGATTTTGTAATGAAATGAAGTCGTTACGACCATTGAAAGAACGAATTGCATGTTCCATCAGAAAAGTGAATAAGTTTCATCTAAATATCTAAATTTTTTAGGAGATAATCGCTGTTATGTTTTTCCTTTTTTATTTAAACCATTGTTTATCATAAATATACTCTCATATAAAAAATCTAAGATGTGCATATTTCAATCTCATTTCGAGAATTCAAGATACAAAATCAGTCTTAACAAATCACAAAATCAACGAGAGCATCAACAGACCTACGTAAAATTGAAAATTGTCGTGTTAGCAATGAATAACAAAGGAATCAGTTTTTAATGTTTTTGTAACACCAATGTTGTTTTTCTATGTTAAAAATCGAAATACTGCGCTGTAGAAGCATGCGCTTTTTTATAAGACAGCTTGTACATTATTTTCAGGTATTATGATAGTGAGAAATCCAGAACCCAAGAGCCAAAAAGTAGTACCAATCTATCCCCTAGAAACTCTTGATACCATTCCTCCGACCAACCAAAACATCGTTAAAGTACAGCCAAACAATTTCCTGCTGGACAAAAAGTCAAAATCCAGTTCAGTAAGCTCAAGCCTCATCGATTTGAATCAAACCTCGCCGAAAACCAGCACGAACAATCTGCTCATCCATATTGCACCAAAAACGCACCAGGACTTTAGCGTCCAAATAGCCAATGAGAAGCAAGAACATCATCGTTTGTGCGACAAATCGGCTCTGACCTACGAAGTCGACTTGACGTCAGAAAAGTCGGATACTGAGATAAACGATGACGTAACTAGTGCCAAAAATTCATCTCCCAAGGGACCCAGGTATTATTGATATATCATTTCGTTTAGTTGGTTCACTTATCTGAAATGAAATATATTTTTTCACAACTTACCAGGTAGCATACAGTGACGTGACGTGATGGCGTCCTAATTCGGTTATGTCATTAACCAACTGACGTCAAAATGACGCCTGGAAAGCGACCAAAGTCAACTAATACACGGGCGCAGCAACATTTTCTGGTAGTCTGGCCCAGAGCCAGATTCAAACATTTTATCAAATGATTAAAGCTGAGATCAACTGCCTTCCAATTGATAGTTAGGTTTTCCCATGAGTATGAGCAGCTACATATTTTGATGCATGTGTCAAAAAATTGAAACACAAATATTATAGATAGTTATCCACACAAAACCGATGGATTTAAAAAAATCATCAGTGATTGGCACAAGTACAGTTCGATAAAATAGAATGTTTTTACATGCCTTTGGAACATACATCATTTCCTTATCATATGACGGTCGAAATTTGCACCCTGCTCTTGGACTATAATGGCGTCTTTAGAAAAAGCTAGTGGAATAGTAATTTTCCCAACAAGTGCGGAAAGTTACACTTTCCCGCACGTGAACGCCGTTGACCCAAACGACGCGAAGCGGAGTTCGGGCAAGCAGTCGAGTGTGGGAAAGACACTTTCTGTATGAGTTAGGAACAATATTTTTTCTACAAGCGTAGGCAATTGATTGATTTGTTCAATCAACTATTCCTGCAAATAGGAACAACTAGCAATAGTGATATATTCTCTATCTCCTAATAATTATTGATATATCTATTGTGTGTACCGTTTGAAGCACTATGTAGGTAAGCTTATTGTGGAAGCCAGCATGCCCATGGTGTTGGGCTTCCAGGTTTCAGATATTTCTAGGAAATTTTTACTATTGCACCATTCAATAAATCCCATGTAGTGCTTATCATACCTTTCTTGAGACTTCGTTGGCAATAACTTATCTGTATCGCATCTGTAGCTAGAATTTTTTCATCGCAATTCCACTGAATCGGAAATGACAGTAACGATCTGTCTGTTACTCTGAGAATTACACTAACTAATTTATGTTTTGATTGACATGACAACAATTGTTTCCCACATCATATCAATTTAGGGCTATAGGGGGATTTATATGTTGTATAACAATCAATTAATTTTCAATGTTTCTTCATTTTCACAATAAATAGTGCAATTTGATGGATGATTCTGTACAAACTTACTAAATAACCTAAAATCTTCATATTGTGTCACCCACCACTCATATTTTGCGAGAATATTATATAAATGTTTTTCCCGCACTAGTGTGGGAAAAGTTTTTCCGCACTATAGCGGGAAAATGACACTTCCCAAACTAAATTGCGTGCGGGTATTGGGTTTTAATGCTAAGGAATGTGCCATCTGACGGCATATATCACGTGATCATCAAGTGTGATTATTTGGTAGTAGTATTGAAGATTATAATTATTGTTCATTCAATTGTGAGACTGATTATTATATGATTATTTGTTTATACTACCGTATATGGTAGAAATATATCTTCGGAGTCGTTCTGGCAAAATTATTATTTTGACATATCACACTTGCCATCAAAAATATCATATTTTTGATAGAATGACAACGCGGGAAAATGAAGGTTTAAATCCCAATAGGGTGAATAAAATATATTATGGTACATATTCAGGTACTGCTCAATGCGAGTGCAGAGCGGCTCGAAGAATATCCTGTTAGACAACGCCCACAACAATATAGCCCCCGTACTTTATACGAGGAGTCACAAAATCAAAATGGAAAGTAGAGCACAAACCTATGATAGCTCAGACACAGAGACGAGTGGCGAGAAATTGATATCGATGGCTAGTGATACTTCGGTGCAGAATCGCCAGAGGGTTAGTGAGTAGAGATGAGTGGAAATAAAACACGTGAATGTTCAAACAAGATCCCACAGTATTGACTTTTGCTGTGAAGTGAAGTTGAAATACCATAGCTCAATGTTGGAATATAATGTGACACTTTACGCACTTACTTGTCAACGTTTCAGTTTTTGTAATCAGTAACACATTGGAAACTCTTATGCTACTGATGGTATGGTATATTCATTTTTCTACAATTGTCAAAAAAACTGCACTTTTTTAACATATTTTGTGTGCCTAAAGTGTGCAATTTTTCAATATCAAAATACTGTTTCATTATTCTACGGATAACAATCATCAAATGAGCGAATTTGGACTTCCAGTGACTGAGGTGGAGCTTCGCCAAATAGCAACGACATTTTTAAATAAGAAAGGTAGGCAAATAGGTATTGTTGATTTCTGTTTCATTCCATTTTATTTCACTTCATCAGGTAGGAGAATACATCGTTTCAAAGAAACCCTTCCTGGCAAGGACTGGGTCGAGATTCTTAAAGAGGCATAAAAACCTAACAGTCAGGTTTGCCAACAACATTAAACGGAGCAGAGCAGCTTTCAATGGTCAGCAAATGCAAATGCAGGATTATATAGCAAACCCTGGATGGAGTTCCACCACATGCAATTTTCAATTATGATGAAACCAATTTAACGGATAATCCTGGCAAAAAAAGTTTTTATCAAACGGGGCATGAAATATCCAGAGAGGATATCGTTAATTCATCAATAAGTTGTATATCCCTGATGATTTCAAGAAATGCAGCAAGTGAGGTTCTGCCATCTTATGTGGTTTATAAATCAAAACATTCATGGGACACGTGGACAGAGAATGGCCAATACAGCATCTGGGTGGTTTAAGTCAAAAACATTTTCTGATTGGTTTTTTCAGTTGTTTTCACCAAAATTGAAAAAAAATTAAGGTAAATGAGTTATTATCGGCGATAATTTATCTCAATTAAATGTCGATGTATCAGCAGCTTGTAAGGGCCATGATGGTCAATTTGTATGCTTGCCACCAAATAGCACTCATGTAACGCAGCCCTTGGATGTAGCATTCTTCGCGTCATTGAAAAAGGCATGGCGTGAAATTTTGTCAGATTATAAAGAATATCCCATGTTGGAAGCAGGTTAAGTGTGCTCGAAAAACAACATTTTCCGACACTTCTAAGACGACTGATGGAGACAATTTCTGAAAACAGTGCTTTAAATTTAATAGCAGGATTCAGAAAATGTGGAATAGTTCCATGTGATGTAGGCCCCTTATTGAAGCGATTACATAACAATCATAATAGTGTCATCAATCAAGAGAATATACCTGCAATAGAAAATTCGTTTCTTGGATCTTTGGAAAATAAAAGGAGGGAAGCTACCCAGATTCAATTCCGGGACAAGAAGAAGAAAATAACAGTTCCAGCCGGAAAAAGCATTGCTCACAGCGAAATCGGTTTTGCTGATTTATCTTGAAGTGCGGGAATAGTTAGAGCTCAAATTTCCACACACTCTAAAAAACAAGTTTCAGAAGGAAAGGAGTCAGATAAGCTTTCGGAACTTAGAGATTCCTATGATGAAGTTGATGAAATACAAGACATGAAGGAGGAAATTGAATTTAATGAAAAACTTGAATCTGCTTATTTCGCCAAATCTGCAGCTGAAAAAATTCAAGAATCATTTCTAAAAGATATCCAGAGAGCTGTAGGCCAATATAATTTAGTCTTGTATGATGGCAATCCGTATCCTGTAGTCATATAACCGAAATTGAGAGCTAAATGGTTGAGATTAACGCAATGGTGAAGTCAATGAAATTTTGAAAATAGCCCGAAAAGACCGATGAAATTTGGTATAGTTGGGATAAAATAATTGGTGCAATAAACGCACCTAAGCAATGGACCAAACGTGGTCTGTATTCTGTACCTGAGTGTAACCGATTTTGGTGGAATCAATGTTCATCGGATTTGTTATTATCTTCGATATATTTCTGGTTGACTTTTATGCCTGGATAAACTTTCATTTTCTCTATTTTTCAAATATTAAATGATTACGATCTTGATTTGTGTTGATTATATGCCTAAATCACTCAAAAATTGAAAATTCCCATACTAAAAGAACCGCACGTTCTAGAACTCAATAACGGTGTGGGGTTGCTTTGCCTCGCATAGATCTTACTGTACAAAAGCCAGTCTTGAATGAAGTGGTGCAAAGTAATCCCATATTTTGCACCATATTTCAGATGTACATATTTGAAACCTCTAATATTGATCTAAGCCATCGCAAAATTTCTAGTATGCCTTGTAAAGTATGTATTACAAACTATTGAAAATGAAGTGAAAAAGTGGAGCAAAATATCCCTGTTTTACGGTATTGAAAAACGATGAGGCTGAAGTGTACTTTCAATTTCAACTTGATAACGTAACTTTTACACTCCACAGGGAATTACCTTTGAGTATTCAACTAGTTAGAACTTTTGGCTATTTTTTGGTGGTACCGTAATTTCACTATAAAAGTGCCTTTAGAAGAATTTCAACTTCACTTCAGAGCAACAATACTTTTTGTGGGAACGCTTTTCACCTTGTTACCTATACATCGCCTCCCTTAGGTAGCCGACTGGATACAGAGCAACATCGAGAACGAGCTGAGCAGCTCAGAAAATTCCAGATCTGAGCCGGTGCCGGTGACCAAAAAGAAGTATGCCGAAATGGAGGAGAACGTGAAGAGGTTCTTGTTCGGGGAGAGCGAGTTTTTGAAGACTGTGGAGAAGGGGAAGGTGAGGTATCAGGGTCTCAGGGAAGGGGAGGGAGGGGAGGGAAAAAACCGTACTGAAACAGAGATTATTTAGTTCTTCCATTTTTTCGTAGATGTTTGTATATGGCATTTTTGGAGGAGTTCGATTTGAAATGAAGGGAAAAGTAGACTTTCGGGATGAGACTAGTTGAATCACAAGTTTTTGATTATATTAAATATCAAGATAGAAGCCATGTGCAATGTGCATCTAGTATTATCAGTACAATTTTCAAATCTTTCGTCAGTGACACTTCATATTTGAATACATAATTGGAATTGTGGAGAATTGTTATGAATATTTTATATTATATTAAATTCACTGTTTGATGATTTATTCATATTTATATTTCGTTTTCCATACAAAAACGTAGAAGTTATCATCTTTCTTGAACTGCTTTTCTCTTTAATTTCTACATAATATATTTTTGAATATTATTTATATTTTTGTGATTTTGGAAAGGGACAAATATTACATATTATATATAAGGGTGAGCAAATAGTATACATAGTGTGAGTGAATGATGATAGTGCCTCTATTTCAATATAACTGCTATTATTTGAAAAACGTTATTATGACCATTCAAGTGCTAACACAGAGTAGAATAGAGTGTTGACAATCAATATTTTTATTGTTCATTTAGAATCAATTCATGTGTTTTTCAGTATTATAATAATGGATGGAATAATGGATATACCACCTCCTCGATTAACCTACAGACAGTATCTTACAATTTATGTTCACTATGTATAGAAACCATTTTTATCAGATCAATTTTCCCAAAACAGAGGCGCTATTTTTCATTATCACATGGCACATTTTTCAACAATATAACAATCATCTACATTTTTAGTCGAATTCGAGTAGATCGACCGATCGATGTTGAAAAAATGTTATATTACGGAGGTTACTAGAAAAATTCTCAAGAAAAATATGAACCAATAGTATGAAGTTGCTGTAAGTTAACATTCCATTAGAGTTGAACACTATATTTTTACTACGAATTCAACAAATTATGATGCGAAATTATTCATAGATAGAATGAATATCATACATTTCATATTCAATATCAATCAAGATCTGCATTCGATATTATTTGTTTCTTTCCCTTTCAGTATTTCAGCCTTATCCACCAACACCAAAACGTTGTTCATAATTCGCTATGACATAATAGGATGAGCTGAATCTCACAGCTCATTTTATTCTGTCATTGAGTATGTGCGTATGTCGATAGACATAGGTCTGATAACTATACTGCAAGTTCCATCTGTAATTGAAAAACTAATCACTGATTTATCGATCTATTTTCTATCAATATTATTGTTTTGTTCTTTTTTTCTCGTTGAATGAGCATTGCTGTTTCCACCTGTATACTCATGAATCATGAAAACTGTGAATCATATCTGAATTTGTTGTCTGAACTATTGTCCGTTTTGTTAATTCAGTATGTTCATTATTATGAGTAGAAATTGACATTGAAAGCAATGAATGCAATCATTGTACTCATTGATAGTCGGAACATTGATCTAGTACCCTTCGTTCTATTTTGAGGTAATATCAAAAAATAAGTGATACATTACTTATGAAAGCATGTGAAATAAATACTCGCACTTTGTGAACAAAAATATTTTCTCAATTTAATATAGAACTAGCTGAACGGTCTATGACGGTATAAGATGTATACCTACAATAATATGTGATTCCTTGTGAGATTTTCGTTGACCCCAGAGATAACCATGTTGACCAAAACATGCAGCAGTTTTATCGCTGCTTCATTTCGAATGCCCCATGTTTTATCACAGATATGTTTCATTCAGAGATATAGCATGGATGAACGTTCGATAAAAGTGTGATAAACTTGGTATACAAGCTTTTATTCCCAATTTATTGACCGCTCTGTATTACTACCTGATGATCTATAATAATTCTCAAAAAAAAACTGATGTATTTTCGCAAAGTCACGATGGAATATGACATCTTGATGAGATATTTACAACTTCACTAGTTTACTTACTTTCAGGTCGTATATATGTGATATTCTTTAGTGTTTTTTTGTGGATTGAAGATCAAGTTCATCAGAATTCGTAAGTTTTTAGGCTTTTCTGAATAGTTTTGTTGCGGATTAGGTATATTTGTTACACAGCACACAGTCTCAAAATTTTCGTTCAATTGACATCATTAAAACTCGGAACTCCACATGAAATAAAAAATGGTTAGGGTACCTACACGATTATTAGATTTTAGATTTACTACCTGATGATCTATAATAATTCTCAAAAAAAAACTGATGTATCTTCGCAAAGTCACGATGGAATATGACATCTTGATGAGATATTTACAACTTTCACTAGTTTACTTACTTTCAAGTCGTATATATGTGATATTTTTTAGTGTTTTTTTTGTGGATTGAAGATCAAGTTCATCAGAATACGTAAGTTTTTATGCTTTTCTGAATAGTTTTGTTGCGGATTAGGTATATTTGTTACACAGTACACAGTCTCAAAGTTTTCGTTCAATTGACATCATTAAAACTCGGAACTCCACATGAAATAAAAAATGGTTAGGGTACCTACACGATTATTAGATATTAGACACGAGGGCTCGAAGGGTAAGATGTTTTCAAAGATATGTCGAATTATCGTCATTCTAAATTCATTCCTACTCTCTTGAGTAGGAATGCGGTAATTTTGTCTTGAAAAAATAGCGTTCCCAAAAGTTAGATCATCTTATCAATATAGGATGATTTGGACTTTTCAGACTGGTCAAATCATAATAACCGACATTTTTACTATCAAAGAGATGTATGCATGAAATTTGTGATTTTTTGTGAAAAAATTATTGCAAGTCATGTGTTTTTGGTATTACTTGTTGAGTCTATATGCAGAGGTTTCGTTTTTGTGAAAAATTCAAGTGATACCCTACAATTTGTTTAATGCCATATACAGGGTCACGACGAGCTTACACTATCATTATATCGAGGATCAGTTGGGAGAAATCCATGAAAATGTGCATGCTCATATTTCAGAATACTCTCTCTTCATTCAGATTATTTTCGGCAATGCAATGTTGCCGCTTCTACTAGAAAGTAGTAGCAACATTGATATTTCAAATGGAACACCCTGTATTTCATCGCATTTTTAGATTTTGCTTGAAGAGCTTATTTCATCGATGCATCACACTTTGGGTCTATCGAAAATGATTACAGAGATATAGGGAGTTCAAAATCGAGATTTTTCAACTTTAGGATTTTTAGTGTCGAAACTATTCATTATTGGTCACATGTCCCTGTCCTAACTTTTGATTCACTATTTACTGATATTTAATCGGAACAGATACAGGGTGGTTGAAAATTCAAAATTCATTTTAATACCATCGGTTACGAGTATCGCACCTCCTTGTATATTGAATCATGTTCTCCGTACCACGAAACGATTTGTGAGATCGAATCACCCTTAGATACCAAATTTCGATACTCCAGGATCAATGATAACAAAGATAATTGAAGAACTTCATCCTGGAGTATGCGAACGTTATACTGGGACAACCTGTATGTATTAGCAATATATTCATTCGGTCGATCGAACTACAAATTACAAACCGTTGATCCATAATGTTATGATGGTGTCTTAGTATTGGATTCCGAGCAATAAGAACTTTTTTTTCAATCTACTGTTCAAAAATATCAAAACTATCATTGTTAATTTCTATGGTTAATTTGAAATATTTAGATATTCAGTATTTTTTCATAAAGGCAGATCTATACTGATAGTGTAGCTGTAAATAATGTTTTTCAATGAAAATAGATTTTGAGAAGGGCTGGCTCTGGGGTTGACCATATTTATAATTATTCAGATTTTAGAGTACTTTTAGGATTAGGAATGGACCAAATATTTATTTTTGAAATTTATGTGAAGTCGTGGATCTCATGTTTTTGAATCGCTCTTTTTCTACGTGTATACTAATCTTACCGGTTAATTATCTCATTACCTGCAAATCATCAGTACTCACTGTGTTGATAATGTGGTGAATAATATTTTTCCTGAAAAAGTTGTTATTTCATTGTCATTTTATATCTAAACACACCAGCTAGACTCTAGAGCAATTATGTTATGACATTCAAATGTCGTGAAAATTATCTATAGATGAATAGTTTCAGGAAAAATAATATACTTTTAAACGTTAGACCACAGTTTTTGAGAGCGTATATTTGTGATTCGCCATTTGTAATTGGTATGTCTAGAATGAAGCTCGATCTTAGATAATTTTCTCTTGTTAAAGCGCAGTGACTCAAATATGATAACTAAGTATTCCAAAAAAATTGTTGCTAATTTTTTCCTTTGCTGCTATAGCGAACGAAACATTTCCTCATTTGTCAGAACTTCGTATTCACTTTTTCAGATCCAGAACTATTATTTGTTGGAAAAAGCGAATTATTGCTTACACCCAATACAAGATCATTTATAAAAATTGAAAAGAATTTGGAATTCTCATTGTCGAAAGTCGAGGGGACTTTTTAGGTTAAATCGTCTCAATTTGGAGTTGCTTATATATGGGAATTATAACATCTATGAACTATGAGAAAAATTGGAAAATGACATCCAGTAGATATTTTCTCTGTAGTAATGTCAATCACATCACAACTTCGTTAAATTTTTTCCAATCGGGATTCTTTTAATGGTTGAAATTTTTACTTTGCAATCTACAAAATTTCATCATCGTGGATTTTTTTTAATCATTATACACTATTTATTCTGTGTATGTGAAAAAGAATGTACATTCTCAATGTCAGAGAATTTTTATTTTTATGTTTCCATTTTGGATGTTCAACAAATATAATTCGACGTGGCAAATAGCCGAGAAAGTAGTTGCTCTTTGTTGAATATACAGAATGATGTTATATATGTACATACATATTTTTATATGAAGGGGAATGCGAATCCTCAACTTGAAAAGATTTTCTTTTCAAATTCTTATCATGTGTGTTCAATAGATATAATTCAATGTTCGTCGTGGCATATAGCCAGGAAAGTAGTTGTTTTCTGTTGAATATTCCGAGAAAAAATTAATATCTCCATCACATAGAGAATGCCAATATTCAATGTATTTCTTTATATATGTATATATTCACAATATATCTGAGAATATTCCTTTTCAATGGATTTATTGATCGATTATTTTACATTTTATTTTTTTTTCTGAATTTGTTTTGAGTACAGAATGGATATGTGGCCATGCACTAAATTATTGAAAATACCAAATATATGCTCGCATATATGCAATTTAAGCTAATGTGGAAAAAGAAAAATATAAAGTTTTGTGCCTTTTGATCATCCACTAAATGTCATTTTCCTCATTGCTTTAATCTTGAGAAAAAAAGTTGACAACCTGATAACCGTTTCTACTTGGATATAAAACCTCAAGAAGACGTTTTAAAAAACAAATTATAATGAAAGGTACCTCTTTATTTTCGACATGGGAACTTATTTTGCATTATTTGATTATTATGTTACAACTGCTATGGAGCATTGCACAAGGAAAAAAGGATAGAAAGTACACTATAGTTTGACATGATTTCCATGAAGTACCTATCTGCTAATCGACTTTCCAGAAATAGATAGTACACATAGTAGATAATATGTCGATGTTTGAATGTGTATGCATGGTGTGAAATTACACCTGATATTCTTTCGTGATAATATATTAAATATCTACCTTCCTATCTATTGTTTAGCTAGACTGGGAATCTACTACCTACTAGTTTAGTTATCAGTTTTATAAGTCATTGGAAAGTGTATCAAGTGCAATATAAATAAAATGCATAAAATAACATTCTGTATTTATTCAATTCATTCAAGTATACATATATGTATAGACAGGTATACGTTTTCGAGAAATTTGTAACCTGCTACACAGGTACCAAGTTTTCTCCAAACCAAATCTATTTCTCAACTACGAAATAGCGAAAATGCTAGTGGAACGAAATGTTGAATAAAACTGAACATGAAAATGGTAGATTCAAGATAAATTAATAAAAACATCCTGCAGCAAAACTTTCGAAGAAAAATATTTTGCATTAATATGTTGAGAACGGGAGCAGATTCGGCCCCGAAACGTCCAAAGATAAGTAAAAATTCTATATTTTTCCAATATATCTATATATCTTTCTTTCAAACATTTTTTTAAACAAATTGTCACTGACAAGATGTTGGATTTTTCTTTTAGACTCCCTGATAGACATTTTTTTAAACGCAGTGGCATTTTGGGACAATTCATCTGATTTGTCCCACTACAAATATATTGAAATAATACGAATATTTTTATTTCATAGAAACGAGGAGAGAAAATCACAAAGAATCAAGTAAAATGAATATACCGCCTCCTCGATTAACCTACAGACAGTATTTGATGAAAAAATAAATTGAAATATTTCCATTTCACTTATTATGGTGTGACTGTTATGACGTATTAGACCCAACACGCCCATTTTCCTTGAGAAGCCCAATCACACTGCAACTGCAACACTGCAGAACGGCAAGGTTATCAGAGAGAGATTTCTACAGTTCGGGACTAATATGTCACGGCTCCACCTTCATATCAGGATCAGGCTTTTTGAAATACCGAATGGAATATCCTGATTTCAAAACGTTATAGATTCGATTCCCTTCAGCTTTAACTTATATATCATATTGATTGTACATTGAATGTAAATCATGATTCATCGATTGAAAGAGGTTTGAACGGATTTTATCCCTCAGTGGTCTTCCCCATTGAAATATAAGCTCCATCGGGAATGCTTGATTGAAGCTCAATGAAAGTGAATTTCAAAATAGTGGCACAAAAATATACTGACCACATTTGATCTTCAGAGGAGGCCAAAACAGCCACAGATTAACAAACCTTACAGCTGGCACTCACTTGGAACTCGAGTAATGGCAATGGTAATGGTGAGTACAGGTAGGTACTACCTTCTCTTCTGCAGGTAAAATTCGAGTGGTTCCCAAAATCTAGAATGCCATGTTCTGGCGCCCATGCGCGCGGCATTTGTCTGCACCACGCTGCCACCAAACCAACCATAAGCGAACCGGCGCGTTGCATTCGTCCGCCGTCGAGCAGGCCATGACTGCATAATTGCACGGCGCGCTGCATCGAAGACGGCGATGACGGCGTGACATCACAATCGGCGCTCGCCATTGTTATTCTAGTTGGCGGTATTATTTCGGCTGGGTTTTGTTGCATTCGAATTTTGCGCGAATTTCTCCGCAAGTTTGTGTTTGTACAGTGAGATGTGATCGATTTTGGTGGATAGCGGCGACTGTCGTTCTTTAAATATGGTGGAATCTGAATACACCGATGACACCTGGGAAGACTTTTTTGGTGAGTTGATACATATTTCAAGAATATGAATATGTATTAAGTAAATGGGTCATAGAGTATAGTGAAGCAATACCCAGGTTTATATAAAGAAACTGTCAAAACCTAAGATTCGCGCGTTTTCTGTAATCTATTTATATTTGTTGTTACTGAACGTTTCGTGCGACTTCGTTGCTAAATGATAGAAAATTAAGTGAGCACTTTATGTAATAATAATTCATAATAATTGATATTACCTTGATACGATCCTGTCTACCTACGACATCAAATGAGGTCTCTAGCAACCCGAAAATAGAGGAAAAAATATCATGGTAGCAAGTTTTTTTAGCAGGCATGAAAAATAATAGAAGACCCAGTAGATATGAGACTGATTAGTACATTAATGGTGTACACAGACCTACAACTCTGCTGGCAATAATAGTTTCTATAATCAAAGACACCTCTCTTTGTAAAACACATGTATACGAAGGTAAAATGATATTTTCTTGAATAGTGTAAGTGTATTGAGTTTTTCTCTGAAACTTCTTTCTGGATGCTTACCCAATAACTTGAATAAAGTTCACCCAGAACACTAGGAAATGTGAAACGTTTTAATTTGGAGAAGGAAGAGGAAACACAACCTTACACATCTTCAATGCAAATCCCTGTCCCATGGAGACTCATCAATAACCAAGAAAATACTATTGGTGAACAGGTTCCTATAGGGAGTTAGTTCAATGTGCTTTTTTAAATGAATGAATATTGAACTCGAAAATAATAGAGGTTCGTTATTATATGGAAAACTACAGGGAGACGACTCGAAAGAAGAGTATAGTAGGTACTCGGTACGTACCCAAAAAATTGAATGGAAATCATGGGAAATTAGAGAATTTGAAGAAACTGAACAATATGAGAGGTGATGGGAGGAAATAGAAAGAAGACTGATACCTATACAATTCCCGCTTGTCAAATATATGTTTTCATTTCTTGGAGTATAGGTAATGATTACCCACTTATAGCTAACGAAATAAAATAGTTTGAAAAACAACGGATTATTTGCATTTAGTACCTGATATCTAATATAAATAAAACATTAGGAGACTAGGAAATGAGGAAGGAAATAGAGAAAATAAAAAGATATCTCGAGCTATTTTTTAAATGTATGATAAATTGACATTAATTCTTTTGTGTACATAAATATATCTGAGAATGTTCTTTTTCAATATCTCGAGCTAATTTCACTTTTCATCACGTGTAACCACCTGCAACATTTCGCAAACATTGCCTAATATTGTTTAGGTTGATAATTTTCTACGTTATTCAGTTCCATCCAAATATTTGGGCTACACATGACGAGACGCAGGAGGTGTTGTTTGTATGATAATGTTAAAAAAGATACCATAATCTCGACAATAATGTAAATATTGTACACCGAGTTATGAACGTGAATAATCTCTAATTAGGTAATTAAGGTCACAGATTACTTTTAGGGTATACACACATGCATTCGGATAAAAAATTGAAATCATATTGTATGAGTATGTACCGTCATCAAGGGTACCTACCTGATAAATTGAGGATATGTTGTGAATTTCATTGGTTCAGATAGGATCTGGCGAGGGGTCTGGTAGATTTTCATTCGATTTCCATATCCCCATTACTGTACACACATTTTCCTCATATTTTTTTATGAAGACGATGAACATAACTAGCTATATACCCACCTACTCAGACATTTGGGGAAAAAATGAGTGACCAATAGTAGCGGGATCTCGATCGGCATAGCACAATATTAATTTGTAATACCTATAGTAAACAATCAATTTGAAATAATGCAAAGTTATCTTTGATGCATATTATGATATCAGCAAATACCTACGTTGTTTATATAAACAAGAATTAGGATACAATAATGTAATTGACACTTTACTTTGGTCTGGTGATTGTTTTATTTGAACTTCACTCATGAACATGAACTGATAATTTGTACAGGGTGTTTCTAAACTTCACTGAAATTTCTCGTGAGTTGATACCCAAAATAAAAAAAGATAAACAGTATGATGCAAATGTATGGAATAAATTCATTTCAAAACAAGACGACTCTTTTTCGACGTATTTTTCTAACTAGACGACCCTTCGATGTTCAATTCTCAGTAGCAGACCTTTGCAAGATTCAATTAATCACATGATAATCCATTTTAATTTCAATCTTCTTATGCAACATTTTGACTGTTGAATAGACGATCGGTAGACCTTTCAATCAAGGTGTCACATGACCCCTATTTGTATTTGAAAAAATCGTCCATTACGTCTTTACTCCAACACTGGTGACGTAACATCTCTTATATGAATATCATGAAATGAGGCTTCAAAATTAAAAATCACGTGTTTTTGGAATTTTTTAAAATGTCGCCAATTTCTGAAATAATGAATTTATTCCATACATTTGCATCATACTGTATATTCTTTCTACAGCACCCTTGATCCACCCATATAAGGCACAGATCCGACCTGTCCTGGAATACTGTTTCCACATTTGGAATGCAGCACCGAAACATACCCTGAAACTATTGGATTCTGTCCAAAAAAGGGCAATTCACCTCGTGGGTGATGCCTCGCTCACAAACTTACTCACTTCTCTAGAACACCGTAGAAAAGTTGGCGATCTGACTCTATTTTATAAATATTTTCATGGACGATGCTCTTCTCAAATATCAACAATTGTTCCTCCCTTTGCAGTCCCCGCAAGATTAACCCGTCGAGTTGAGGATTCGCACCCCTTCGTGTACACTTTGGAGACCTGCAGAACATTCCAAAGACTCGTTCATTCAACGAACAGCGAGGCTCTGGAACACATTGCCAAGGGAGTGGTTCCCCGAGGCATATATAACCTTCAGAAATTCAAGAAGAACACCAATTCCTACCTTATTTCCCGTGGTTCTCACGATGTTCTCTGAACATTACAGGATATCCCTTTTCGTGGGAACCAGAACATGAAAATAAATCTATACTATCTATACTATTATTATTAATAGGAAAGATTTGTTTGTTTCTTAGTTTGTATATCGACTCGTATAAATATATTGAATAGGCTCTGAAACTACCAGACTACTTTTAACCGCGGGGAAATGCTTCATTCCTTTGGGAAAACGAGTAATAAAACAACGGATAGCAAGAATTATCCTTCCCTATACTTATGTTTTTCACATAACTTCTAAACGGCTGAACCGATTGGGTTGAAGTTTTGTATGGGTATTTCGATGGTTTTAATACATGAAACAACAACAACAAATACAAAAGATATACTGAGAGAATGACTATGGATGTAAGTAAGTATATGATAGAAGCTATATAGGTATTAAGCACAAAAAATTAAGAAAAATACCAAAAGGAATATATGTACCTACTCTGTATAGATACGCGCATTTCAATGATTGTTCGTCCTTCTCGCCCATCCAAACTGATTTGTAGGACAAAAAATGGAGTACCCGTCGTGGATTGATCGTCAGTCGACCTAGTGTAACTGATGAGGCTTGGAAAGCCGAAACAGTCGTGTCTAGTCAGTCTAGGTTTCTCAAATAAAAGCAAAATGTATTCTGAAAATCCAATTAAATTTAACTTTTAGAGCGTTGGTTCTTCACTATACATTATATTGTGGTGAATATACAGAATTCCTAGCTGAATTAATTAACTGAATGATTTCAATGATTGTCACTTTGACCGATAACATGGCAACTTAAAAAACCTAAGCAACGTGGTATGATATCCTATACGAATAATGAGTCTTTTGAAACAAAAGAAAATGTTTCCTCACTCATACTTACTTATCTACCTATTGCAATCGATATCATAGAGTGCATTGCACATTATTTGTTCTCTTCCACTTTTCACTTCTCGTTATTTCTACGTGTAAAACAAAGAAACATATCGGTCCGTCGCTTTATAACTTATATGACCTCTGTTATTAGTCATTAATCATCAATACCATTTGTGAATGCATATCAGGGTATTTTCATCACGTTCAGCATGGTCAAACCAGCTCGTGTGGGAGGAAACTTTAGATGGAATGGTGTTCTGCGAACATTGTATGCTAACAGTGCGAAATACATTGATATTCTGGATTGAATATCTCGGAGGGATCCAATGGACATGCATCAATAATTGAAAAATGCAGCTTCAAAATTACCTAACTGAAGACTACGATATCAAAACTATACACTGAGAAAACATGGTTAACTAAATCGCGAACTAAATCGCTTAGTTGGAATTTCTTTAGTACAGATAATTGAAAATATTGAGATTTTTATCAACAAACAAAATATCCCTACTACCTACAAGAAATGTTGCTATTTTCACCTCATTATTATTATTTATTTTCATGTTCTGGTTCCCACGAAAATGGATATCCTGTAATGTTCAGAGAACATCGTGTGAACCAAGGGAAATAAGGTAGGAATTGGTGTTCTTCTTAAATTTCTGGAGGTTATATGCCTCGTGGAACACCTTCCTTGGCAATGTGTTCCAGAGTCTCGCTGTTCGTTGGATGAACGAGTCTTTATGGAAAGAGATGTTCTGTAGCGAGTTCTGTAGGTATCCAAAGTGACCACGAAGGGGTGCGCAACCTCAACTCGACTGGTTAATCTCCCGGGCACAGCCAAGGAAGGAACAATTGTTGATATTTCAGAAGAGCATCGTCCATGAAAATATCCAGAAAATAGAGTCAGATCGCCAACTTTTCTACGGTGTTCCAGAGGAGTGAGTGAGTTTCTGAGCAAGGCATCACCCACGAGACGAATTGCCCTTTTTTGGACAGAATCCAAGTTTCAGGGTATATTTGGGTGCTGTACTCCAAATATGGGAACAGATTCCAGGTCAGGTCGGATCTGTGCCTTATAGATCATAAGCAGCTGACTGGAAGTGAAATAGCTCCTGGCCCGAAACAGAAAACTTAGTTTCTGGAATGCCCTTTTAGCAATTGATCTCACGTGATTTGAAAGGTTATTGCTGATAGTAATACCATGCAT